AAAAAACCTGTAATTTCCCTCTGGGATTATTAAATATATATTCTCATCTATCTATCCATCTATGTGTGTTTAACAGTGTCATTCATTAATTCATTAAATACAATGAATTTTTATTTTTTTCAGAAAAATATTGCAATCATTGCACTTTAAGGACGTGTAAACTGGCTTTATTTTCTATAAAAACTGTTGGGCAATAAAAGTCATTACATTTATTCACAGAAATGTTTGTGATGTTCAATGTCAATAAAAAAAAATGAAATTCTGTTAGCCTGTTCTTTTATATGGCCTCTTTTTTTGGGGGTTCCCTGCATTTGTGCAGGCAGGTCAACCTGATATAGAACCACAGGTTGTCCTGCCTGGTGAGGGATCCCAGGAGCCAAAGGCTGGGGAGCCAAGGGTGCACAGCCTGCTGGAGCCAGGAGAACCGCTGATGCTGCAAAGAGCTGCCTTTTTGCGGCAACTTTAGGGAATGCCACACAGTGCCTGCCTTTGTTTGGAATTACTAGCTGTACACTCTGGCAGCTGATACTGATGTTCAGCACTGATACAGGAATAGAAGGCAGCACTTTTGGGTCCAACAATGGTTCTTCTGACACAGTTAAATCCATTGATACAGAAGTTTCCTGAAGCAGCGCAGACAGCTCCTGCTTCTACTATTTGCCATTGTGCCACTGGATCAGGGTGGAGTGGTTCACTTCCACCTGCTGAATCTCTGATCCCTGCATCTCTGGCTTTTCTATTCACCAGCTGCCTGATTTTACGATAGTCCCTCAAAATTATTATGATTCTGCCCCTTTGCCTTTCCTTTCCAGCGCTGGGTGCAGACCATAAAGACGAATAAAAACGGCCTATGGCTCCTGGCACGCAGCGCGTTGTGCTCTTAACACCAGGAGTTTTGGAGGGCTCTTTGGCGATTGAAGGCGTCCACTTAAAGTATCTCCTGGCGTGCTGCAGACACAACCCGGTGCTTCTTCCCGTCATCCAGCCGGTGCCAGAGCTCCATGATGCGGCCCGCTTGGAGGTTGGTCAGACAGAGGAAGGTCTGCTCCTGAAGCCCCACTAAGTAGTCAGCGAGCATGTCTACCTGCTGGTATCCAGGCACCTTCTGGTCATCAAGAGCCTGTCAATATTTAGCACAGAAAACAAAATTACCATTTAAACCTTAACAACAACCAAACTGATGCTTAAGATGTAATAAACCAGGTGAAAATACACAACACTAGCACGTAGCTGCTACTGACCATTGTTTCATCTGAGGCATCTCCAGCCTCAGATATGCTGAGGGAGCCACTGTGGAGGAGGCGCTGGTAGAAACCTCCAAATCCGTCAGTGTGGGGTCATCTGTGAGGTCAGAGAAGCCCTCATCTTCATCGTGCGCCTCAATGAAGCGGGCAGTCTCCTCTGAGTCGGGGTTCATATCCTGCAGTGCCTGACCAGTCTGCTGAAACAGGTACTGCGGTCCGATCAGCTCACCTGAGACAGAACAAAATACATAATGAACATTACAAACTGGAATATGTAAAGCCAAGTGAGCTGCATAAAACATTAATAAAATGGCTCAGATGAGTGTCAACTGTAAAACCTAATTTAATAAATTAATATAGAACATAAAGATCTGGTTAAATTCTGTAAATAAAAATTTTTTTGTTCTATGTTCAAGCAGCATCTTTATATTCTTATCTATAATGTTCTCAAATTTACTTCTGTCTTTACTTAATGCATAAATCATCCCCTTGTCATGTTATTATGTTTGCTTTGTATGCTTTATGAGAATTTTTTCACTAAAAGCTGGGGTTATTGTGATGCAGTGTAAGAGTTTTAGTGAGATCACAGATGCAGCCTCATTCTTTTCCTCTGGCCTGGTAGTGCTGATGTCATTCTTACCTGTGTAATGTGCGGGCGGACAGAACTCAGGTGTCATCTTTCTGCCAAACAGCTTCTCGTAGGCTTTATTGACAAAATGCAACAAATCACCAGAGCAGCATCACAAAGGCGACTTCTCCATTGCGAGGGCAGCATACAATACAGTCAGATTGGTTCAAAGCTTCCTGTCTGAGGAAAACCAGCTGATTGCATCGACTCATGGGATGCATTCTCTGAAGGCCAGATTCAAAGGCTGATCGGATTCCAAGACTCCTCATTATGCGACCTACAAATGCTTCCCTTTTGCCCGATTTGAAGGATGGGTCCGATGTATCCTTTCTATCCTTGGTTATCCCAAGATTCACTTAGCTTAGAAATACAATTAAGTGGTCACTAATATTGTTTATTAAAATACCACTTGCCATATTGTGTTTAACATTGTTTGTAAATAATATTGTAGATGTTTGAGCTTGGCCTGTTTTTCCAGTGTAGTCCTGTTTCTCTGACTGTGATGGAGATCGTCTGCCTGGTTGTGTGTTTCCTGGACGGGGCCGCCTTTTACAGCTGCTTTTTCTATCTCTGCTTCTGTCTCCTTGAACCCCAGTCGGCCTCGGCAGATGGCCGCTCACGCTGAGCCTGGTTCTGCTGGAGGTTTCTTCCTGTTAAAAGGGAGTTTTTCCTCTACACTGTCACTACAAGCATGCTTTGTGTGAGGGATTGCTTAAGAGTCAATGAGTCAATGTAAGAATGAGTTTAGCTTTATTATATTATTGGTTTTGGATGTTTTTTGGACATTTTCTCAATGTTGTCTCTGATTGGTTTATCAGGCCTTCATGATGACTCCTTCAACTGAAGCTAAGAGCTCCAGAGAGAAACTAAGAAAGAGATCTAACAATAAATTCCTGCTCATCCGAGTACCAACCAAGCCCAATAAAAATGGGAGTAAGTTAAATGAAATGTTATTGCTTTGCTGCTTTTGGCTATTAATGTGTGTTCGAGTTATTATGATTGCTGTTGTTTTTATCATTTTACTCTCAATCATTTGTTTTTCTATATGTTACTCTCATCATTGGAAATAGTGTATGAAGGTCATAAGACAGTCAAATGTTTTGCAAGAATGCTTTCCTGTTTTTCATTTGAGAAGCAGAGAAGTGAAAAGTTATAACCCCGGCACCTTTTGTAAAGCGTATGCTGAAACCAGACAAGTTCCCTATCTTAAAAGTTCATGCCATGTCTAAGAGACTGCGTAATCAAAACTAACACCTGCTGTTGTAATGTGTTGACTGCTCAATAAAAAGCCTGGCAAGTGTTGAGCCAAGCGGAGATGCAGAGATTGACTGTTCAACTCTGGACTCCCCTTTGCTAAGCATTTCAGGAAAAATCTTACACGGTCTTTGTTTCAATTTTTTATAGGTTAAGGTTGGGGAAACTTAACAACGCTAACAATGTGTAAAATTTTAGCTAATAGTTTTATCTTTCTTCAATATAACCTGGGAAGTAGAAAAATAGACCCCATAGAGCTGAAGCCTTCCAGTCTTTGATGTATAATCTAGAAAGACAGATCTGGAGCAGTTCAAACCTGGAGCAAAAACGCTTTTTGTTTCCTAGAAGTAGGATCCAAGCTGGGTTTAGAAGTTTGAATTAACCCTGGCTTTTTTCCTTCCCGACAGAAACGATGTCCCATCAGATTTAAACCATTTTCTTTTCTCAAAAATGTCCTATATAGCATCAGAAAAAAATGACAAAAATAGTTTTTTTTCTTTTTAATAAACTGATAAAATATGCGTCATAAAAGGAATAATAAAATTAATCAATCGGTCACATACAGCAGAGGGTAACTTTTGAACCTGAAAAAAATTACCGTCCCTGCTTTAAAGACACGTTAAAATTCCTTCTTGTGTCTAAAAAAATATTCTCTATAGACATTCTGACAGAACAAGAGCTGAATGTAATCGTGAAAGTCTTTTAACATAACTTAGAAACACTATAAAGGGTCATTCAGTCACATAACAAAAAAACAAACAAACAAAAATAACACCAGCAACAGCAGCACTAAACTTCTTCATAACGAGAATTGACCCCAATACAGACTCCAGGACGGACTCCAAGATGGACCCCAGGATGAACTCCAAGATGGACGCCAGGATGAACTCCAAGATGGATGCCAGGATGAACTCCAAGATGGACGCCAGGGTGAACTCCAAGATGCACGCCAGGATGGATTCCAACATGGACTCCAACATGGACCCCAGGATGGACTCCAGGATGGACCCAAGGGTGGACCCCAGGATGGACTCCAAGATGGACCCCAGGATGGACTCCGGGTCTTCGGGTTGTGGTTACTTCTGCGTGGGCTCCAGCCGTTCACTCTGGCTGTCGTTTACTAAAAACAAAATGTTTCCAACAAACTTCAGGTTTTCACATTCTTACTTTTAGAGGTGTTGAATATTTATCCCACGATTCTATGCATGTGGGGAATTAGCTCAAATGGTAGAGCACTTGCTAAGCGTGTAGAGGCAGCCGGATTGATGCCTTTGTTCTCCATTCAATGTCTTTTCAAGTGACACCATTCTTCAGGGGAGTGTTGGCCTAGCAGTTGCAAGTACCAGTTCCATCCCCTTTGACTCCACTCTGGGTCCCTGAGCAAAGACCCTTAACCCTACACTGCTCCCCAAGGAAATGGGTTAAATGTAGAGCGTAAATATCGTTGCTTTGAACTTGTGACAGTGCAATGACGATATAGTTGATTTTATTCTACGATGTCATAACAGATTTTAGCCGCTGTGCTTTAGGTTTTTTTTCCTTCCATTTTGTTAACCTGATCATAGCAAGACTAATATTTGGGTTTATTGGACATGAAATCTAGCCTGACGTAGTCCTACTCATATATTCTAGTCAGAATATGAGTCTGATACTGCTCCATAGAGCTGTGGTTATGGGGCGTGTTTCGAACGAACCAGGAAAAAAAATGCCTCTGCACTCAA